GGACTAGAGCGGAAAGGAAGCTCGAGAATGGAGTCGGCCTGATAGGCAGACAATTCGAACCGTTGCACAAGCAGGCGACAAGAGCGAGTTAGAGTTTGAGTACTTTCGAATCCTGCCTGTCTTCATTCCCCTCCCGATCCCTGACATGAGCCTGTCTGTTTATCTGCATGCCTGTTTTCTGTTCTCCTGCCTGCTTATCACGTGATTTGCAGTGTCTGTGCATCTCCAGCCCTTATTACCAGTGCGCAAGAAATGCGCAACGTGACTGACAATATCTATCGGTTTCAAGAATTATTATCTATTTTTAATCAGATATTAGCTAATACTGATAATTTGAATTTTTGTTCAACTTAAAGCGAATTAATTCCAATTTATTTTGTCCAAACTCAAAAAATTCACCTGGGATACAATCGATAAACTTCAATCGAAACATCGACCAGATTATGATGCCATTTGAAGTGTGTTGCGTTTGCACGGATCAAACTGTGGTAGTTCTTCAATTAAAAACAAAACAGCACTTGTATGTAAGCTTATATTTCAGTTACAAAATTTATACATGCTAACCGTCACACGGAATATATTTAACAGGGGGAAATGCTTACAGACCGCATACGAACATTTCACAGCCCAAGATTAAGACGAAGCTCTCACTTAGTTCGCTCTCTTTATTTGTGAGTAATCGGGCAAGATAGGGTATAGCTGAACTTCAGTGATGTGTATACGAGATTGTATCTGTCGGAATTCGGCACGTATGGAATGATGGGAACTACACCTTGTCGGTTCTGTGTTCGATAGATGGATGGTTAGGGTGTGCGAGAATCTCCTTCGCAAAGAGAACTCATGAGGTTATGTGATCATAGGAAAGTCACAATTAGANTGTGATCATAGGAAAGTCACAATTAGATGGTTCACAAACATAGCAATAGTTAGACCGTGGTGTAAGACTGTGAAATATTGTTTAAGTAAGTCGAGGGAAAGTAACTTGGAAAAATAAAGTAAGTTGGAGAAAACACAGTGGTATACAGAGGTAAACATGACTGAGTAGGAAGCGTGAAACTGTCTGATCTTTCGAATTTGAAATGATAGTCGCCACAGTTTACCAATGCAGCTGTGGATATGGATTGAGCAGCGAAGATTGTTATCTGCAGTGACACCAAATTACTTAACAGATTGCGCCCTAGATCAAGGATTACCATTTACTACTGTGGAGTCTGTCGGGAATGAAAACCGTTCAAGTGTACTGCTGCAACTGACAACATATATTACTCTAATGATTAGTAAAGATTTCTCTAAAAGTATATGACCATTTTCGAGATCACAGTGTATCGTGCTATTAATCTTGCCTGCCCGATCACTGTTTTCTTGATGTTAGTATCAACTAATCATTAAATTTTCAAGAGCTTTTATCAATGCTCCTTCAGGAATAGCTAGATCGAAATTACCTCCCGTAGATTAGAATGATATTCTGTGCCCAAGTGGTGCAGCACAAAGTTCTGTCGCTCATTCAGAGACAATAGAATGTAAGTGTATATATATATATATATCCAAGAAAAGCTAAATCCTCATACCCTTTTGAAGGATAGTCCATTGTGACTTGGACAACAAGGACCCGTATATAAAGTAATTTGTAACAAGTTCGTTATTTTTCTAAAAAATGTACACTGTAAGTTGTCTGAAGTGTCCTTCATCACTTCTCTCTTCAATTGGACTCCCTAATCTTCTTGAATGTGGCGTTTGCTTCAAGTCGACAATTTCCGCTAAAAGGTTTCTAATAAACAAATCTACATTTGGTATTCATTGGGGTTTTTTCAACAGCCGAAGCAATCACCGGACTCACCTAGCATATTCCGTACTACTTGAGGTGACCTCTACTATGAGGTATTGTTTTCTCCATAGTTCTTATTTTGTTGCTTTTCCAAACAAATTTAATGGACTCTAAGTGTCGAACATTTTATCAGAATGCTCGGATAGACAAATAAAGTTCATTTCTACATTTACTGTGCACCAGACATTTTCACATATGGTTCGGTCAGGCACAATGTTGTTCAGTATCAGTGTGTTGGTAGAATGTTTGTGCGCACGTGTTGCGTGTAATGCACTGAAGATTCACACCAATGTCTTGACAACTGCGAGAGCCTTGACCACTAGGGTAATGAAGCCGAATCTTTTTGCAACCGTGGGAAGCGTGTATCATTCTTCCCTGCAAAAATATCGTCCTCTATGGCTCCTTCTTATGCTCTGTTTGCTTACCCTGTTTTAACTGTTTTGTTTATTCAAAAGTAAAACCTTTCCCATTGTGGGTATTTATCTCGTTGACGTTAGTTTGAGACAAATCCATGACGTTCTTGTACCACTTAGTTACCTTACTCAAACAAGTAATTAATAAAGTACCGGATGGGAGACATCGGACAGAAAGTTCTTGGCATATTCAACTGATATCACGCATCAAACAGAATATGTGGTGATTTGAATACTATAGATATATGCGATCCCGATTTGTTTTACTTGGCCTAATCAAATCAGTCATGCGTAAACTAACACTCAAACGATAAGTATCCCATTTGGCTCGATGAACTGCAATACAGATGTCTAAGCTTTTACTCCGTGCTTACTATTCCCTTATTATTCCAGCGACCGATCCGTTGCGTGCGCGTGCAGAATCCGAACTGAATTCAAGCCAAGTCGTGATTGAGCATCGTTGGGTGAACGCGCCTGCATTGAAAGAGGGACTCCGGGATTTCGCGTTCCTCATGGAATGCTGTGAACCAGGCACAATACCGGAACCACAGCTGATTGCCGCTCTGTTAGATTTGGTGAGTATCGGCATATCAGTTGTTCCATTTTTGTCTGTTCTCTTGTTCTTGCAAACATGGCTGATTCCTTAAGGCAGGGGAATTTCTATGTTAATTTGCTTATTATATCAACAATAAGCTCTTGTGTATTATTCGTAATTGTCTCTAGAAGAAAAAGTATTATGATTACATTGGTCGGTGCATTGCGGACAAAGCTGTGTTACCAAGACTAATGTTGCTAATGCTGCTAAAATGCTCGTGACGTTATCAGTACACAAAACCTCACACTACAGACTAATTACCGTTTGCTTTCGACCAATTCATTTCCAAATTTCTGCTTCTGTTGGTAGACGGTGTTGTCAAAGACATATTAAGCGCATAGATCCACCTGCATTTTCGTCCATGATAAATGAAAACACAAATAACAAGTGTTTGTATTAAGGTTTCGAGTCTCTTGGAAGACCACTGTCAAGTAATTCAGGCGATTGTTCTCGCAGAACAAGCAACCATAAGGCAATCAGAGAACTCTGTTGGAGTGTAAACATGTAATGAAGCAATCAGCGCCAGAGCGAAGCCAGGAGATATCACCCTGTAACCTCTGGGTTACGTGATAGATGACGGGTGAGCGTCATCGATATGTGTATGTATGTGACATAATCACTCCTCGGTTATGTAAGATGGAGTTTATGGACAAAAGTCAGACAAATTGTAATGACCTCAGCTGTTGCTTAGGTTGCTTGAGGGCGGTGGTGGCCAAGTGGTTAGGTCACAATCCTGTGACCTGGGAATCCGGGGCTCGAAACGCTCCACCACCGCCCGTCCTCTATTTTTCAGGCAGCTTTTGTCTGGCCGCGGCCAACCCTTCCTGAATGTTGACTGGGCCGTTAAAAAACCCAAGACACTTTGTCGACTGGGCTGGTATTGTGCACGGCAAGATTGTCGAGCCGTACTTTTTCAATGGAAACGTAACAGCTAAGAACCATTTTGTTTATTAATTTTTTTAAGGCGCCTCACACTTGCAAATGTTACAACATAATGTGGTACCTGCCATCCGGCGTATAGAAACTGAAGTTGATACTACAGTTTGGTAAATGGAATGACCTCCAATGTAGATAATGTAGATAAACCTCAGCGAGTTTATTCATCTTCAACGCACCTTTTTGTAAGCCTATCAGACAAATTACTTTTTTGGTATAGCGCACAGACGTCTAATCTAATTTTTGGAGGAGTCCTCAGGCAGGGGTTAGTCGGTATATTATGAGTTTAAAAACGTACTGATTGTAATTGAAGTTAAGATACANCTAGTCCCTAATTCTAAAGCAGCCCCCAGAGCGAACTGGTTAGAATAATGGTATAACTCATATACACACACACACGCCTTCTGTGAAGGGCGCAGACTTCTACTGCCGGAGGGGACCACGGATGAGCTGTTTGGTTGGTTAATCAAATGAACTGAAGAATGTGCTAGTCAATGAAATCCGACAGATGATTCGCCAAAATATAAGAAAATANCACATAATAAACTGTATGATACGTATTTTTCATGTATATAGTGGCCAGGGAACACAACAGCCGCATATATGTGGATGACTGTGGTAATTTTCCTGGCATATATTAGCATCTATCGCAACCTGTTGAATCGCTACCTTTGCATAATACGGTTGCATGTATGCAAATCATATCGCATATCTTCAATGTATCCGTTTGTAATACCATTCTTCTATCAGTTGGTTATGTAAGAGACAATAACTGGAGGACACACTGTTGTCCTTCCACTCATCCACTCATCATGCATCCCCACGTTTGTCAATATAGGACGCACCGGTGGTTGCTCGTGCGTGTCTTTTGCTGGAATGTGCCAGTCTGGTGCATCGATGTAATCGCGGTGAATGGGCCAGTTGGATGAAGTTTAATCTGCCGAGCACTTTTCAACCCGGTACCGCCAGTTCCGTTCACACTGGTCAGAAAGTGAGTCCGGGAGCGGGGGGTTCTACCGGATCAACTGGTGTGCCGGATATGATGGTGGCAAAACGGAATGCGGGCGCTCTTTTCCATGCATGGGGCGAGGTAAGCGACGAACTTCAAAGTGTCTTTTCAGTACAGTAGAAAATCATGACTGGTAAAACCGAAATAACTGACTGGGGAAGATTTTTCCCTTGATCTCAAAAACACTCGATATTTTTCAACAGAAAATGGTAAGATGTATCATTCTCCTTTTTCCCCATAGGCTTTGGGTTGCCGTATCCGATATTTTATCAATCAGATGATCGCTAATAACAACCATTCCACATCAAGCACAACCGCGGGCACTGGTCCTATCAGCGGTACTGTCGTCAGTGGTGTAGGGTCTGGTGCAGCTGCTTCTGCGGGCCCGAGTGGTAGTGGTAGCGGCAATGGTGGAAGCACGTCAAGTAATACCGCAGCGGACAGACATAAGGACTGTACTGTTCGGCAGTTCTCTGCTCTTGAAACCGAAGAAAACTTTTTGGACGACGGTAAGTCGTTGTCTGAGGATCGAGACCTTGTGGGTATGTTTTTCTCACTACAAAAATAATAGATATGGTACGAATCATTTGGGACGCTAAATTTACCTCCAACCAACTGAAAATGAAACTTAACAAGCAACTAACTGATAATTTTTCGGTACACCTTATGTAACAGTCGACATTGAATTGTATTGGGTCAGTCGGCCTCACGATCGATCGCTCAAGGATCAATCTGAAGGTTTTATATTAAAACATCGACACACAACAAAATGAATGTTTTTGCTCTAAGCTGGAATTATTATTCTTAGATATCTCGTTCATTTACAACTTCTAATGTTCACAAAACATCTAAGTCACCTCCTTTAAATTCGTTTTCGTTATTATGCTAAATAGTTGTTATTTTGGGTTTGATGCATTTACCGGGCTGCACTTTTCATGATGATTTAGAATGTCTGTGATGAAATAATAGTACCCAGATCCTATTCTGAATAATACCAATAAACAAGAACCTTGACGAAATGTAAGAAACTTTTGGATTCCATAGTTATTACAAATTTTGTTTGACCGTGTCTCAATTCGATTGATCGTAATTTGGTTGCACCAACAGCATTTGGTGTCAGCTAATGTTGCATAGGTCCCTAGTCCAGAATCTAACTGCCGCTCACATTTCTCAATTCCTCCTTGGAGATACTGGTTTACTACAACCCATTGCATTAACCGGGTTGTTTGATTATATTTTATCATATCAAATGGATAAAACTGTTAGTCTTTTTATCGATATAGCGCTTTACTCACTAGGTCTTTAGAATCTGGCTACTCATGAGTAGTCTATGCGTTCAATAAATTTTCCTAGCAGCTTGCATTTGCTTCACGTGCTCCGGAAATCCAACTCTTACAATATTATCAAGAGCTATCAAAGCGAAAACTACTGGTTGAAAGATACGAATTACAGTTATTTTTGATTTACTTAGCCTATATTGGTGGATACTGGAGTCCGTAATTTGAAAAGGTCCAATGTTCTGTTATGAGATTGGTTTTTCGGCCCCGGTTAGAAAAATGGCACCTCTATCTTAGTCCAGTTAGATATTGGCATAATACCGTCAGTGCATAAACGTTTTCCTGAGTGGTTTATCGCCGTATAACTGATTCTCCTGCCGGGATTCTCTACCAACACCGTTTCCACAAGATTGAGTCTTTAGCATGATCAGTGTACTACGACTGTTAACAGCAGAAGTGTCGTCAACAGGCGACTGGACCACACGTAACAGCAAGAGTATCACAAGCATTACAAACTGGTGATCACACAGTCTTGTGTCAGGTTGAGGGATTCCATGTCGCGCAAATCGTGTAAAACGGTCCAATCGTATCACAGAGGGAATTTAATTGTTTGAAGTTGCGGGTGAGACGGACAAGATGATATGTAGCGATGGCGCGGTTGCTAGGTACATGTAAATGAACTGTAGTCATAAAACGCAATCACTATCTTCTCTTTCCATAAAAACAGCTACACTGTTGCATTTAAGATTGGCTTACCGCAATGGGATTCCAACCATTCAGGTTTAATAATTCATTTCAATATTCACACAGGTCCATTTGCCATTTTGCACCCGTCATTTGGATCTTTTTCTTCGCCTCTTGTTTCTTTTCTCTCTCTTTCTCTTTGACTACGTTTGTCGTTGTTTCCGCGTGGAAAAAATCTGGACTCGCTTTAATTACAGCAAAATTGTGGAAAATACGCTCTCCACACAATGGTCCATCGGTAGTAGTGGGTAAGATGGAGTAAGCAATAAGCAATCCCTACACACACGTACACAAAATTGAGCACATACACTACCTTCCCTTCACGATAACCAATGCGAACTCATACCCACACATTTAAACACTGTCGATACATTTGATACTAACCCGTGTTTCTCCCTCCCCACAAATGTTGTGATCTAACCGGCAGTTAACAAGCCTTTCACTCTCTCACTCTCCTTTCTATGTTGTTTTTTAACAGCACAAACCCCTAACCACGATCGTGCACCAATACGTTTTAGCTTAGATACAACCACCCGCGAGCTATTTTCCTCCTCCCTACTTCACAAGTAATCAAACCAACTGTGATCGGCCGCGCTTCATACTACAACCCTTACCCCGATATACCTGTACTAAAATCAGCAATTTTTCTGTTTTGTCTGTTCTTCCTGACCTGCTCAGCTTCGGTCAATCCAACGGGTGAGAGCTGTCCTTATGCTCTGCTGGCTGTCGGCGTTCAATTATTGTTAGAAATCACCACGTATTTGCGCGAGATGCATCCTCGTTTACCTCCGGCCTCCAGCGGTGACGATAAGCACAAGGTGAGCAGTGATCAGGGTCCGGGTGTATCCACACCGGGGACCGGGAGCATCAGTGGCCCATCGAGTTCAAAACGCGGACCGGGGCGAGAGTCGGGCACAGATCGAAGCTACGGAAAATCCTCAGGTTCTTCCGGTCCACGAGCCTCATTTCGAGCGGCTCGTCGACGGCTGAGTATCTTGATGCCGATTTTTGGATCTGGTGGATCGGTGAATGCGGAAGAAAGTACCGCTGAACTGGATGAGGAAAATTCGAGTGTACTAGGTACGGGACTTCGTTGGATACATGCAAACGTTAGGCACTTTTTGATAACAGCAACCGAACACAAAATCTCGAATATGATCAGACCGTAAACTAGTTTCCATGTCTCTAACAAACTCGCATCTTTCGACGTAGATTTTGCCTACTTGTTCTGGTTTATTCAGAAATCGACTTGGGAACAATTTTGATGAAGTAACTTTGTACTTTAAAAAAACGGGGCTTTACATGGTTAGCTATGATAATATTACCTTTATCTAATAAACGCGGTTTTTCACAGCTTAAATTCATCTCATAGAACTGTAGCTTTCAATCCTCTGAGCTTTCTAGGCACGTGCTTGCGACCAATCAAAGTCATTATATGATATCATATGAGGTGAAACAGTTTAAATATCAATGTTTTCGTGACCCGTTGTAAAGAGAGAAGAAATTTTCTGCATCAATATAAGAAAGCTGTTCTGTCAATATTTTCTGCTTGCTGTTTGTTTATGGACGAGATAACCACAGAACGGGGAAGATTTTACAAGTGGGAGGAAGCCCACAAACCTCTTTAACGTGTTCTCGTATGACGGGAGGTCGGGAAGACGGGTCAGAGAGCAGTTTTTGATAATTGGCTGAAAGTATCTTGTGGGGGTAAACTGATGTGTCTGTTCGTAAGCTTGCCAGCTAAATTCGTCATAGGAATGGACAAAACGTATGCTCACAGTAGAATCTTACTATAGACGTTGAAAATCTTTTTCTTGAAGTCTAAGAGCCATTGTAGGAAAAAACAGTAGATTAAAAAGAATCTCTGGGATACATATGTAATGATTATTGTTTGCCGGGGATCTAAATCTGTCTGGGCGCATAAAAATGAAATTTAGTTTCTCTTATAGCATAGTCGTCTCTGGAGACAAACAGAGAAACTGGGTATTGAAGACTGTGATGGACTTACAAAATGGGGATTGTGATCAGAAAATTTTGGATTGATTAACTTTAAGACTACTGAATTGTAGACTTCTCTGCAACTGTTAAAACCACCTAATTATGGATGAACAGTCGAAAATTACATCACCTGCATACTCTGAAACCTTGGATGGACTCGTGTGAGAAACAATGATAATGCAAGCAGGAAATAAATATGGGAAGGAATTGCGCTCTGGAGCCATCCGAGGTTGTCGTTGGCTAGAGATTTTGAATAAATTCTACCCACTGTGGTGCAATGTACGTTCTCGGTGGAATTTTCATTGACATTATAGATGTCTGTTATAATCCATATTAACAAGCCGTCACCTTTAAATAATCATGTGATTCGTTCTCCTGGATTCTCTCCCCTCTCACCTGATAGAACAAGCAACAACTGGTCGTCGTACCCTGGGATCGCGTCGTATCAGTTTCGCTGTGTTCAGTGAAAATAAAGAACGCCGAAACTCTCTGCTTGGAAGCGCAAGTTCCCTGGACAGATCACCAGATTCCGGTAAATTCCAATGTAGAATTGCTTTTTAGCCTCACTCATCTAGGAGCGTTTGCGTCACAGAGCTGTCAACAGCTACTGAAACATCAATACTGTAGCTGAGCCTCGTGTATTGTGATATTCGTAATCGATTTGAACCTGCGATACGCTTTTACATTTTTGAAGTAAATCTGATTACTTTTTTCTCAATGGTGCACCTCCCTGAGAGAGATGTAGAGATATATAGAGGTATAGAACATGCAAACTGTTAAATTTCGTTTTATTTAGAAATGTGCGCTTTTCTAATGAATTGTTACTGACCATCCATTCGTGTACACTTTTCACTTCACCCATTCGACTGTGCGAACCCTACTTCCACTCTTACTATCATCCCACTTCACTACTCAATAAGCATTATCTCATTGTTAACCTGATCCTTGTTCTACAACCGCACGAGAATGTCCAACCAATCATAATCAGTGGCTCATGAGGTCATAAAATCGACTTCAGTCCCCGTTGAATGCATTTTAAAAGAAGAACTCACTGGCTCTGCTCAATCATCCAGTCTCTTTTCCGATCGGTAGTGGTCCCTCATTTTGGTAAATGCTTTTTCGCTTTGAATGACACTGTAGAATTGAATATACCAACTCCGGGAGATTAACTGCCCCCCAACTGAAACGAACTATCTTCTGATCTTTTCAAAGGTGAGTTTAGTTCATTTAACCGGTTGTGTTTTCTATCTGCGCATGAATTAAGCGCTCCCTGTAATCGTTTGGTGTGAATTGCAAGGTGTAACACAAGACAAGGCATAATGATAGCCACCCCAAGCTGCGATTTTTCAACTGAGAGCACGGCGTCCATACTGAGTCCCCTCCACTACCAAGAATGTTTAAATTCAGTACCCCTAAGGGTTTTAATAAAATGCCGATAGGTTTCCACGCATAGGTTTGATATAATGCCAAGTTTTAGTAGTGAATTCATTTCATACTGGATCATAGCTTTTGATGACATTGGATTTGGTTATCTTTAGCAGCCTTTCGTCTCTCTCTCTCTCTCTCTCTCTCTCTCTTACACACTGTTTCCAGATAAACCACTGCTTAACAAAAGTCTTTTGCGTCATCGTGGATCAGGAAGCTTCAAACGCGCAACACCAAGCTCTCAAGAAAGTCTTGGAGGTAAGTGTAGTATTCGAAAAAGGGAATCGGAATTGAATAGCACGTACTCGGATTCGGACTGAAACCCAACCAACTAGCGCAAGACGAGTTGTGGATATAGCGAATTCTATTAGGAAAATCATGCCAATAAATATCACAAGCATTCAACAATCATTGGTCGGTTCTTCAATATCCAATCGACAACGATATGGTTCATTTGTTTGCCTTCTTGTATTCAGCCAATCCGGTTGGTGCCGCTTCTGACCACAGGATTGGTTAGTAAATCCGTATTCTCATTGGTTACCTGGAAGCTGTGCCGTGGTGCGTTCTCATTGCACGATCACCACGATGGTATCCGACTAATGGTGGGGGGTTTGGTTATGGAGTACTCTTTTTAATTTAAGCTTAGACCAGTGTCAGTGAGTTAGTTCAGTTCTAACAAGATAGGTTGCCCACAGGTCCCACTGTATATAGGAAGAAGTTTAAAGGGAACTGGGGAATTCGTCCTAAGTTCGCTGAGACAACCGAAACGCAACTGGCTAACTCAAATGAAATCTCATACTGCATTCCACGTCCCCGGTTTGCCGAAAACATTCTATATTATCGCAATCTGAAGAGTGCAAACACGCACTGGATTGGTTAATTATTTAATCTACTCAACTAAAGTTCTATCAAGAAGAGGCTCTTCGATGTTTTTACAACAAACTGTATACCGTACTATATTACACTATATATATTATTTATTGAAAAATATATACATATTTATGTTGTGGTAATAAGAACTAACTTTCTAATTAACTGCATCAGTTATAATACAATGTTTTCCTCGGGATACGAACCCATTTCCAATTCTTGTCTTTACTTGCTGAGTATCATCATTCATCCGTTTTCTTCACTAATCATCTGGTATGATGCTTATTTTTATGTTCACTTATGGGCATCAGATGAACACTTTCTCATATTTTCTCAGTTTATGGACGCTTCGGTGGTCGATTCAGTATGCGCGCACGCTCGAACAGTGGTGAGGCGTACACCAAACTACTTCCCGACGTGGAAGATCAGAGCACATCCCAGGCGTCAGACGAGGATACCAAACAAAGTGACACAGAGGTATCACGTTCCGCTAGTGCGAAACAGCCGAAACCTGTTAAACAGACTAGTGAATTGCGCCAGAATCGACCCAAGTCACAGAATGCGGCCTCTCGTGCACGGGCTGCGGAAGACCAGATGAAGACACATTCCGCTGTTCGACGTTCCGTATCGGCTGCAGTGACCACCAGGCGACAACGGGCACCAAGCATTTTCTCCCCAAACACCGCTACTGCTGGTGATAGCATCGGTGTGGATCAGATCGCCTGCTCAACGAACATGCCTTGGATCGATCCCGTGATTGAATTTTTGAACTAGTAAGTGGATCAATATCTTCAATGTACATGTATGATAAAACAAACTATTACTGTGTCAGAACTATAGATAGACTATCGACTGTGCATTCACTTTCGTTCTGAGGATCTAAACATTCCCAAAAGAGCTACACATCTAAGGAAACCTTATTGATTCATTTCATTAACTATGCACTGCTGAAAAGCGCCGACATGTATGAAACCCCAATCCAGTCCTGTTTTCCGACTGTGTAATCGGACACACCAGGTTATTGCCGGTGATCACAGAGGTTCAGTCTTTTGGGCCATGGTTCTCATATATCCTACAATTGAATCACTTCTAATCCAACTTTTGACTGAAGAAGTTGCGATGAATATAAATAGAATACTCCACTTAGTTTTATCTTCCAGACTGTGCAATTTTTTAAAGGCATATCTCATTCAGTTTCAGCATGGTATTTATTGAACCCTAAGCAGTTGATGAAACTTCTGCCAATCAAAAAGAATATGATCAACCTAGCCTAGAATACATTGAATATCTACCGCTATCTGGTTGAGTGTTACCGACAGTAAACGTCCATCAAATGTATTGGGAATCTATACTCAGGCCTAATAAAATCGCTTATTCACACACACACACACACACTTGGGATAACTTAAGCTCACGCTAAGGGTTCCAAGATCTGAGAGGAAGTTAATCGACCCCAGCTGCAAAATGAACTCTAGTAAATCCAACCGAGGTCAGGAAGCATGCATACTGTAAATAAATCTAACTGGAAGGAATATTTTCTTTAACCATTTATGGAACCATTTCCAATGAAAGAATAAAGTGAATTTGACTTATTTCTTTGAGCAATTCGTCGTTTCTCTACTGCAAATCATACTGAAAGAGGAGTGAGAAAAAGAAGCATGATGACCTTCATTTTATCTACAAAAAGCTATGGTGTCTCAAAATATTCATTGAACATTTAATCAATTCCTGTGGGACTTATTGTACATTGTTGTACATTGTGTCCACGGTTGGAATCCTCTCACCCCAATGTTGCCTCCATTGTGGAAAATAATACGGTCCACAAAGTTGGTTGCACAGCACCAAGTTTTTTTATGGGAGTGGTTTATATCTTTCTTGTCAGTCACTCTGTTCTACACATCATTCATCATTCTCTCGTTGTAGCACAAACTTTAGTTGTGATCATCAAAACTACTGTTTGCCAAACTGTTTCGAAAGACAACAGCACCAGTGCCGAGCACTAATGAACGCGGTGAACCGGATTTACGGTTCTGATATTGAGCACAGTTTTGTGAAATCAATCGAACTTCAACTCGGTGCGAGCATTGGTGATAATACGGCTCGTTCATGGACCGAGGAGAGTGTTGTGGCTCGACCACGCAGTGAACCACCAGGTCGATCGATCGATCTATCCGACGAGTCTAGTGACTCAGAACCGTCTTCCAGGGCCGGTTCTGGGGAGGATGTATCGGTCGGTTCGGACGGGAACTCGTTTGGTCACAATTCAATCGGCACAACACAGGCTGGTTCCAAACTTGGAACGGGGAAATATGCCGTGGGCAGAGGAGAATTTCACACAGTTCGCTCCCACGAAGGATTGTCCAGGCTGCAAAAATCCGGTGGAGGTGACAGTGATGTGGATTTGCATGCGTTACTGCTTCAACGAACAGACTCAATTGCACCACTGGAGATGCACAAGTCTCGTTCAACGCTGTTCACAAAAGCGGTGCGTCGAAAAGTAAGGGAAACCGATCTAAAAATGAGTTTTTNTTTTTGGTTTATTGTTAAGATACTGCTATTTCAATAACTGTAGCCCTAATAACGAGTTTCAACTCTTCTTATGATCAACCTACCTTTACCACTGTGGCAAACAGAAAGCGTTTGACCGTCACCGTGTAAGAACGAAAGGCCAATTTGATTCATGATCTTTACCATCAATAATGTTCATCTTAACACATTTTCAATATAATGTATTTGAAAATCAAACCTCAACTAAACTAGAAACGGTCGGTGGAGAATTCAAGTCAAGTCAGTAGTAGTTTTATGCACCCAGATGGGTGAATTTTCAGCATTTACACCATATTTGTGGATTCAAAGTTACAAAATCATTACATAATAAAAAAATGAAAGCAGTAGATTGTGTTTGTCAATGAAGCAAGCAGGTAGTAAGTAGACGTGCCAGATATGGCAGAGCAGAATTACGATAAGCAGAGGTACGAGCAAATAAAAGTTTTAAATGTTGAGTGTGTGGATGATGTAGATAAACCTTTTGAAAATTCGTTGTATAATGGGTGGTAAGTGTCTGAGAGTATTTTGGCAGTGAAACTTTCGCATGCTTGTAGGTGTCTGTCTATGATAGAATCCGCACATATAAACGAACGGGTCAAGCAAAACGCTGCCTCTTCACAAGCACCGATGATGTCATCCCGGCTGGAGATGAAACGTTTGAAAACACATTGTCAAACTCGGTGAACAGGCGAAATGGACATTCCTGCTTGCTAAGTGACATTGTCCTGCTGTAATGACCGCAGTAGTAGTGTTATATTCCGAAAAGGCGGTGCTGGCCGAGGAGAGTTCTTTATTGCGGAATACAGATT